ACCGACTGCTGCTTGGGAATGAGCTGGATATCGGTCAATACGTGATGGGCTATTGTACTAGTTTGTTTTTTTTTAATATTTTCCTTGGGGTCTATTTGACTCTCTCTCTTGCTCCTTTTAATTACTATTATTATTATTATTATTATTATTATTATTATTATTAAATTGACATCTGCTAAACACCATCTTTAATAATTGTTGCATCCAATATCTATAGCAGAGAATTGTGTTTTAAATACTTGGCATTGGATCTCATCTCTAAAACACCTGGCCATCCTTTATTTTTTGAATTGGAAAAGTCATTCAGATTTATCATCAGCCAATCCTTCAATAATCTGTAATGCTTAACCTCAGTTAATTGAGCAGAGCTGATGGAGGTTATAGTCTGTGAGGATAACATAAGTCATAACTGCGCAAAAAGCTGGGTGCAGCTGCTTTACTTAATTAATCATTATGATTCCATCGCAGAGTATTGTATTTAGCTGTCAAACCTAACTGACAGAATTAAAAAACAGCAGATCTGTGTCTAAAGACTTTTCCATCTCTAACTAGTCTTTCACCTAATCAAGTCTGGAAGATTTGAGGGAAGAAACTGATCACTTTATTTTGCTGTGTTGCCTATAGTCCATGAAGATGGCAGCTATAACTTACTCCACTGTCAGACTGTGTTGCAGCTGGGCCATAATTCAGTTTCCTCCAGGATTATAATTAAAGACAGCTAATAAATAAAATAATAGCACTTTGAAAATGCATCCATGGTGTTTCTCCCAAATTTATAATATATGGCAGTTAATTACCTTTCTTCCCTGTTATGGCAGATCACATGTTTTATCTAGTTGAAAAGTAATCAAGGGAAGGCTGTAAGTCTAAATGGAATACTACAGTTCTTCAGTTTTCCTTTTTCATGCGTTTTGCATACAGGCTTTAGAACTTAAACTCAGAAAACTAAGGTCATGAACTAAGTTCACAGTCTGATGTTTTCACAAATGGTTGAAAATAATTTCTTTAAACACACAAAAAATGTATCTTCTGAGACTGAATTGTAAGAAGCCATAGCTGGAATGAAAAAGACTCCTAATTTTGTCCATTACATATATTATATACACACAATATATATAAATAACACACATAAAACAATAACATATGTAGTTTCTATATGTTTCCCATTCTTAGCCTAAGTTATTTGAGCCCTCCCTATATCATGACAGATAGAAAAGAACATACGCAACAAGCAAAAGATGGGTTTTTCAACAGTTTAGTGTCTGATAGTGATGATTTGCACCCTATAACTGTGTCAAAATCTTCTCCCAAGGTGAACGTTACTGTCTGAGGGCCAGAGTGTGGTATTTGTGATAAGCAAAATAACTGTCAGTGGGCCTTCTTGTAGAAACAGCAAGTGAAATTGAAGGTAGCTGCTGCAGCCACCTCTGAAGGAAACACTGTGACCATGAGGTTGACTGTTAAAAATTAAACTGAAAACTATCAATTCATTTTATACAAAACACACAATGTTTACAGTTAGCTACGGGAATGCACCAGTGTTTGCCTGAATTTGTACTAGCAATCGAAAGATGTATGTCTAACATAGACAATTATGTTAATATAATTCAATTAAGTATACTTAGAGTAGTTAGCCATATTTAGACATCCCCCTCAGGGACTCCTATTCATTCAAGTGTGCATCATGCACACTGCTTATTGTTTATAACCCTGAAAAAAATCACTGTAAGTTAGCAGTGGAAAGACAAAATTACATAAAGTGACTTTAATACAGTATTGGAATCTCTGTTCTCAGAAAATCGTATGTCAATTGAATAGAATAGTGAGTTGCACCAGTTCTGATCAGCATCCTTTTTAGCACTGCTTCCAGCTTCATCTGTCCCTTCAAGTACTTGGAGCTCCTTAGGATGCCTGCCTGGCGAAATGATTTGTAAAGGGGTTGGCATTGTCTCACAGATGCTGTGAAAGTCACCCCAAGCAGCATTGCCCTGCACCTCTAGCCTGATTTATCACTCTCTGATGCTCCTGGTTCTAAGCCTTCTCAATTTGAGCTCTCCAATTTTTGTTACATCGTGCTGAATTATGAGGCTGTTTTGTGATGAGGACAAATGTCCACTCAAGAGCACCAAACTCATTTCATGATCTGAACTTTCCCCCCAAGAGGTAATAAAGACAAGAACATCCAAAGCCATTGCATCACCTACTGTATATCTTCTGTCAACAGATAATTAATGTGACAATGAGACTTTCCCATTTTCACACTTCGTCATGCATCATTTTTTTACAGTGCTTTTAGACTTAACAACTGTTTCACAACTATACAGCCAAGTGAAAAAGCCATTATTTTCATGGCAGCAGTTGGAACAGAATTCCAGTTAAATAATGATTTTAGTAGGGTAAAGTAAAGCAAGATTTTTATATTATTAGTATTTTTATATTACTTTTATCTGTTTTAAAGAAAACAATACCCTTTTACATTTATGGTTTAAGTATAACTAGTAGAAGAAGAAGGCAGTCTATTTCACACCTACGAAATTCAGTGGACAAAAGTTTTATATTTGTCTGCTCTTGCCTCATTCTGCAAATGATATAGTTTAGAATTCCTGGTCCTGGAAAGAATAAATCTGGATTGAAGTAGTAGATTCAAGTTTTGTTTCGTAAATAGTGGTCTAGACTTCATTCAGCCCCTTCCAGCACCGTAGCCTGACAAAGATTCCTTGGCAGCTCCTTCCATTAGTTTCTGGGCCATCCCCAAGTATCCAGGCTAACCTCTTCATCTAGATAAACTCACTCTTTTTAATTTTTTGTTTCACTTTTTCTATTGCATTACTCTCAACAATGTAAAAGATGCCCCTGGGTGCTTTTCACAAACTAAAAACAGTGCATCTTCTGCCTTCTTCATAAATTTAATTTAATGTTCATACTGAGTAGAATGAGTAATATCTTTAACGATAAAGTTTTGCAGAGTCACTCAGTTTTCTGAATAAGAAGCTGACAGTTCCTGCAAATTGACTTTGCCTCCACTGCTAGGCACTGCTGACTAATCACAGATGCCTCCTTATCTAGGACATTGAATGAATAAGCTTGAACAATTAAGTTATTCAGTTGGTGTAAGTGGGCAGCTTTTCTGAAAGCAATGGAAAATCTTCCAGTTGATTCACATCCGTCTCCAAAAAAGAATTACATACTATCGCATGATGATGAATATACTTTATCACACAGAAGAAGATGAGGTTTCTGTCCCTGAGAAATTACAAAAGCCATAACCCAAAGTAAAAGACTATTTAAGGAAAACAGAATAAAGACTACTAGTAATGGCAAGGATAGGCATGAAGAAGTGGTAATGAGCAAATGTATGAAAAGCAAGCGAACTTGGAATGTCTTACACCATTCTCACTTTAGATGTGTCTTCATGCCTTCTAGAAAGGGAAAAAGAGCAGATATAATGACAAAAAGATATAAAAAAAGCCCAGTGATTTGGTTCAAGTGCACACACCATAGGCATTTGATGGAGGCTATTAAGACAAGACAGGTGATGCTAAGAGCAATAGAAGTTGATGATGGTTCGTTTCACTCTGTGGATGATACAATTTGGTTGGCATAGAAAATAAATGGAAGAGGTCAGAGTGAACATGCAATGTGTTTTAATGAAGAAAATATGGAAGCACAGAGTGGAAAAATAAAAAGAAACACCATCAAAACTTAGTTAAGTCAATGGGAAGTTTGGATTTTCTTCCCTGCAGAATGGAGCAGGTTTCTAATGAGACTTTGAGGTTAGGTGACTGTGGAATAAGTTGCCCCTTCACTGAAGCTTCTTTGGATGCTTGTGAGAACAAATCTCTCTGTGGTGGCTGCTGGCTCCCTACACTGCGTAGGTTTCAGAAAATAACAGCAGCTGGTTTCAGCTGAACAGTTGGGGAAAAAGTAGGATGTTCAGCTATGTCGTTTTGGAAGGATAGTAGCAAAACTCTCATTTACATGCCTCAGAACTAACATAAAAGATGGTATGATAGCTCCCTGCTGAAGATTTTAAACGGTACTTCAAATAGGTGGTTTCATCTGGGAGTGCAGCTACCAGTTTGCAACCAGTGCATGCAGATCATTTGCTGCTGGCTTTTTCCCTCCCACTGTTCCGAAAATAGATGTTAGTGAAAAATGTAGGAATCTTTTTCTGCTCTCCTGTTTAGTTAACAAGGTGCTCACCAAATACTCCTAAGTCTTCATCTAGCAAAACTGGATGAAATCCAAGTTATCAGAGAATACGGCAGGGATGTCTTTAAGGAGGCAGATGTTCAAAGGCGTACTTTTCAGAGTTCTTTGACCTGTGTGGAGTTGATTACCATGATGTGAGAAGAAGATGAGAAGAAAAAGAGATGAAACCACAAAGCCTATGAGAATATGCTATACCTGCCAACAATAAACTTCAGAAAGACCTAAGTTATAGAAGCTGTAAAATATTTCTGTGATAAAACTTCTGAGCCAGGACAGACCTCCAGGGACTGCTGAAAAATTTGAGGTCAGTTCTGTCACCTGACAGAGACTTTTCAGCCCACTTGCCGCTGAGTAGTAAAAATCCTTACAGGGAATCACAGTGACTCAAACAGATAGATGAGGAAAAGACATACTATGACACAAAAGGTCCTTCACTTAAAATTGATAATAAGGCCTAACAGGTTTGCACACTGCCCACCTTGTGTGAAAGTTTGTAAATTAAGAATCCATTATATGGATGTAAATCAGCATCAGTAATTTCACTAATACACAAGTGTCTGTGCTGATCTTCAGGCTGAAACTGAAGCATACTGTTCTCCTTGGGCAACACCTTCCTGATACCATATAGAAACTGCAGTGTCAGATATTTGTTTACTGCCATATGCGTCACCAGAAACATTGCGTAGATGCTGAGTGCTGAACATCAGGCTGTGCCTTACAAACCTGCTGTTGCACCCACAGTCACCTGCGGGTCTCAGGGGGCTGAGCCTATCAGGGCTGGAGCCTGGAGGAAGAATTTGTTTAATCCATCGCAGCCCTCTGGGCTGCAGCTGGTCCTTTCCCCTGGGGTGATTTTGAGATATGAGCAGGAGCAGGATCATCATCCTCTGGGAAGGCATTTGAAGGCAGATGCACTTTCCCAACCATTCTTCAGCTGTGCTGATCAAACAGTAGGAAAATGACAGCTCCTCTTGACACACTTTTTTCCTGAAAAATAAAATGTCAAAATACTAGAGTTAAATAATTTTTTTTTTTTTTTTCCATTTTGGAGTTGCACAGTCTTTTCGTTGTGAACAGCAGGGCAGGCACTATGTGACTGCTTTGTCACTGGAAAATATATACTCTATATATGCTAAATAATCTCAGAGACACACATGTATAATCATACAAACACACACTGTGTTCAAACCCCAGAATGTCACCTGTACCCACCTTGCCGCCTGTATCTGAAGTAATGCTAGGGTGCTAAAAAAAAAACCAACTCTTCTCTCCACATCTTTCTGCCACAAGAGGAGAGTGAGAGACTTTGTAGTGTTTCTGATAATACCCGCGGCATGTATTTTCTATGTGTATGGCTCATGAGTAAGTTACTGTTCTCCTAAGCATACAAACCAATATACTCTCACTGTAAAGAAAGCCAGGAAAATTAGCTTAAATAAAATATATAATTTTATACACCCATATTTACATAAAAGAAGCATTGAACATATGCAAGTGCATCAGATCGTAATAATTCAGTAAGGATGAGTGGGCTTTTTGGCACTTGGTGGAGTACTTGCATATGATTTATATAGAGTTCTAATGCCTAATAAAAGTTGGCCAAAAAGAGAGAGAGAGGAATCTGCTGGGATGAGTTTGTGTATGTATATTAATCAGTAGTAATAGAAAAATGTAAATACAAGTTCAGTGTTTGGCTAAATTCAAACTGGTGAGATGCATTTGATGGTAAGCAAGGCTTCCAAGGGAACGGATAAAGGCTTTTACATTTAGGTCACCTACTTTTTCACCAGACAAGATAAAGCACTGTGTCTTGTCCTACTAAGAACTGTCCCAGTTTAATAGATCATTTTTCTCTCCAGCTTTCACATTTCTACAGGGGGTTGCTGTGCTGCCAACTACAAAACAACGCCTGGATTTGAAAGAAGTATGAGTATTATTTACCTAAAAAGAAAATTAATTTATCTCTAGAAAATTATATGCTGAAAGGGATAGGGATCTACTTCATTCTGATAGATTCAAAATATTTTCTTCTAGGTTATTACTTGGTTAGGTTTGTGAATTGTTTCTTCTTGCACTAGGAAATGTTCTCAGTAGATTGTTGTTTTGGTATACTTCCTATTGTTTTGTTTTAATTAAAGTTTTACAACACAGAAAATTGTATGTTTTATACTGCAGAAAACAAAATACCTGTTTCCAGCTGAGGCAGAATCAGAATCCCAGGAAAAAAGATTAAAACATATTCACATATGTTGTGTATGCTCTCTCAAAAAACGTTAATCAGAAACTTGCTGAATATGAAGTTCTTTCTATAAATACAGTGATCCTCAATCAGACCTCTATCATAAATTTGTTCTGGAAACCTTTTCTGGGTCTGTAGGTTTTGAATCCAAAACATTGAGGCCAAGTAGCACGACACCTCCCTGAGAAACCTGGAGAAGCATAAATTATTTTCCTTTTCCTCTGATAGAAAGTGTTTTCTGTAAGTATAAAAATTAACAGAATTTCTCTGGATATTATCTGTAGAAAACAACATTAGGACTGGTAGGTTTTGATTTCATTAGGTAAATACATGCTTTTCCCGCCTCTTGAGTGACCCAAAAGCATTTGCAGCACCCACAGAGCTGGCAAACATCAGATGAAGAAGAGACCCAGTCTTTCTGTAGCAGTGGGTAGAAATCCTGCAGTACACCCTGGAACATCCCAGTGGCATGAGAGGACTCCTTGTTTAGGTAGGTATTAATGAGAATATAGAAAGCAAACACAACTTCACTATAAGATTGTGTTTTATTGGGAGTTACTTGAATAGGATGATTCCTGACCCATGCCAATGTCCAAATGGAGCCAAGACATTGTTTCTGAGGAGCTGGGTTTGCCCTGAAGGAAAACTGGGCCAGGTAACACCCTCATTAGTCTGAGATATATTAAATACATACATTCTACAGATAGGTTCGTATGTATTTGCTTCAGTCTGTGACTCTGAGCCACATACACAAAATTACAAGATTTCCCTCTGAAGTAATCACTATAGAAAGATCTGTAATTCTCCACTACAAGAAGAGCAATCACTATAGAAAGGCCTGTAATTCTTCACTGCAAGAAGAGCAAGCACTATAGAAAGACTATAATTCTCTCCTGCAAGAAGAGCAAGCTACTTCATGTTTTGCACAGCATCTCCTTGAATGAACTTTGAGTGCCATGAGTGACACAGCAAAGTGGCACAGGACCACCACAGCCAACAAAATTATTACTGGCTTATTTTCAAGTTGCTAGACTATGTCATAGATGTTTATGTGTGTGTTGTTGTCTGTAAATGTAAAAACAAGTTCAGAACAACTGTGCCAGCTGCTCTGCCACATGTGATAGAAGTCCAGGTTCTATGAGCCATGAGGAAGAAATATGAGTAACCGCTGAGTTTGCAGTGAAAACAAGTGCTATGGAGCCTAGAAGCAGCAATGCATTGAGCAAGCTCATTGTTTTGAAAAACAAAAAAAAAGCCATCTGCCAATAAACCAAAAATGTTTAAAGCAGTTATTAATTTACTTGAATGGATCTTGAGCTTTTAAGAAGGATGTCCTTTTGTTCCACACTGATATCTGTGTCACTCTACGTGCTTTTCTCCACTTACATTTATTTTACTTTATTTTCCTCATGTGGATGTGAGCATAGAAATTAAAAATGAAGCATTGCCTATGTGAGTTGTGTAAACTAAGCTTATAGAGTATTTCTGAAATCTTCTCTAAACCATACTTTCTAGGGATTTCTTGAAGTAATTTAAAAATTATCAGGAAATTCATTGAACCAATCACTTAGAGGTAAAGCTGATAGTCTAGTAAGGTTACGTACTAAGTAATTTTGATAAGGATACTTTATGCTATGGCCCCCACACTCCCCCCAAAATCCCACAAACATGTGCACAAACCAAACACAAAACAGTATTATAACACAGGAAGAAGCTGTTTTTCACAGAATGAGAATTAATCTGGAATATTCAGGTTTAATCTATTTTTGATGAATTATGAACCATTTCATTAAGGAAACCCTTTGTGAAAAGAAAAAGGAGGATTTTTAAAAGCAGTAAAATGGTTTCTTAAAGGCTTCCCATAGCTATGCCAGTTTCAGAGAGGCTCTTTGTTTAAACATAGCCCTAGAGTGCCTTATTTCTGCTATCTGATGTATATAAATTTAAGAATATAAATATTTTTGCAGCTCGTATATAAAAATGACAAACATGTCAGGCTATTTACATACAAAATTGATACAGTAACTAAAAATCTGTAAGATCTTGACAGAAAATATTAGCTTTTATTATTAAAAGACATGTTTCACTTCTTTTCCTTATTTCCAGTTTAAGTTTTATGTAGTAAACCCTGATGAATTGTTTTTTTTGTTTTCTTGTTTACCCTTGAAGGTAGCCTTAATGGAAAGCTTTAAAAAAAAAATCAAAACCAACATACCAGAATTTAAGGGTTTTGAAAAAAAAATTTTTTTTTTTTATTTTCCTTTCTTCTTTCTTCTTTTTTTCTTTTTTTTTTCTTCTAGTTCTTAAAATCTGAGCCCGTTGGTGGTTGCCAGGGGTTCAGCAAAATCTGTCTTCATATTTTGTCCAGACAATCTTTCTTTATCCAAGTGATATTCCCCATGTTCCTACATGACCGGGTAGGGTTTTAAGGAATGACATTGCTTCTTGCTTTGTGCAGAACTAATACTCAGTAACCCTCTTTGTGAAGTAGTCCACATCAGCTAAACCTGTGGAGCAGAAATGTCACTCAGCAAAACAAGAGCAAGAAAATGATGAATTTTCTGCCAGTTTAGCACTTGAAACGTGGCAGCACAAGGAGGAGGGCAGGGCTATGGCAGTTTTAACTTGATTGCCTCCAACTGTTTTAGAAGTGCAGCCTTAGGCCCTAAGTAATTCTGTTCTTGGCAAATGTGTTTAAACATTGTAAAAAAATGAAGATATTATAAAGGGGTTTTTAAAAGAAATAATTTCCTTTAATTAAGCTGATCAAAAATTTGGCTTAAAATATTGTTCGATGGCAATTGAAATGCAAAAGACTGGCAGAAAAATATTATGAAACTCTCTTTCCATCCTTGATGTTATGTATCTTACATTTTTATGCCACTTTCCATGAGGAGAGCGCCACTCCTGTTCCACAGAAACAGAGAATCACAAAACGGTCCTTTAGAAAGGACCTTCAAAGGTCTACTGGTCCAACCCCTCTGCAATGAGCAGGGACATCTTCAGCTAGATAAGGTTGCATATCCAGGCTGGCCCTGAATGTCTCCAGGGATGGCTTATCTACCACCTCTCAGGGCAACGCATGAAAATGTTTTACTGCCCTCTTTGTAAAAAAATTTTTCCCCATATTCAGCCTGAATCCCCCTCTTTTAGTTTAAACCCATCAGGCCTTGTCCTATCACAACAGCCCCTGATAAAAAATCTCTCCCTGTCCTTCTTATAGGTATTATGTCGCTGTTTTTTCCCACCAAGCTTCAGCTATCAAATATGGAGTATAACTGAATTTATAAGGGCTCTTCCAGTGACATAGGTACAATGTGAGACTCTTAACACTGAAAGTAAAAACAGATAATAAAGCTAAAGTTGTCCAAAATGCATTCATCTTTACATAACTTTAGTTCAAAACTTGTATGGAGGCATTCAAATGACTTTTTGTAGGAGAAACCTGCAAAAAGATGAGTGTAGACAGCTACAATGAGAAGGGTATCATAAAATCCATGGAACTCCTACTATTTCCAGAAAGACAGCTGCACTTCTGTACCAAGTAAGACAACGTCCCCCCCATCCCACAATGCTGTCTCTAAGAACACAAGATATTTTCTTAAGCACTAAAAGAAAGAGAATATCTATAGAAAGTTTGCTTGCCCCTGCTTGAAAATGCCTGTAGGAGCCTTCTGCTTACACCAGATAACACTTTTGTGTCTTGTTTGTTGTTTTAGGTTGTTTTTTTTTGTTAAGTACACGAATA